TAAATAATTTTTTATTGACATTTATAGAAAAAAAAAATTTAATTATTCTAAAACAATCCAAGTGAAAACGGGATAACCAAACATTTAAATAAATTTTCATTTTTTTTTCTCAAATTATTTTTAAAAGCACTGAGCATTTTTAATTTCAACCTCCTAATAGTACCAACTAGATCCAATTTGCTTCCAAAAACATACACCGGGCATCATCGAAGCTTATGATCAGAGCATTTTTTCTACCAGAAAAGTTGAAAAGTTACAAACATTTTAAAATACCTCAAATAAACGTCTGAAATTATTAGACTGGACAAAATGAAAAGAAAATTGTAACTAATTTTCAAGCCTCCCCCATTGAAAAATCCTGCGGACGCCACTGGTTGAAGGCAGCTCGATTAACAATTTTGCCAAAATTTCAAAAAATGTTTATTCTAAATAGGAATGGGTTTAAAAACAGTTTTTAAAACGAAGATTATGTTACATAGATTTGTATAAGGCTTAATAAGGCTTTTTTGTAACAAATTTTAGTTTTAGTGAATTCAGTGGTGGTAAAAATTCTTACTTCTAACTAAGGCTATATAGCTTAAAGCAGCGTCGAGTAACAATTTTGCAAAAACAAAATTTCAAAAATGATTATTTTGAATAGGAATGGGTTTGATAACAGTTTTAAAACTAAGATTATGTTACATAGATTTCTAAAAGGAAGGAGCTTATTTTGGCCTCTGATACTATACGCTTTACTATACCTTTATAAAAGGGCGATCAATAAGTTAATAGAAAAAAAATTGAAAAGTGTTATTTTTTTGGAACATAGGTGTTGGCATCATACCTGTTGATGGCTTTTTTATTACAAATTTTAGTTTTTGTTAATTTAGTGGTGAAAAAATTTCCGAGCGAACTTCTAAACTAAGCTAGGTAGTTTAAACTTTAAAGCAGCGTCGCGAATAACAATTTTGCGAAATATTACAAAATCATCAAACAACACACTTACAATAAAATAAAAAAAAGTTCAAAAATTCACTTTTTCGAATTAAGAACGTTACATTAAACGTATGAAACTGTACCCACAGTTATCAGCTTGTTAATACCCATCAAATTATCACAAATTATCTTTTATATTTTACTATTATGTAGGTACAAAAAATGTATTTACTATATGTAAAAGTAATTTACATAAAAATAATTTTAGGAACAAAATTCACATTTAAACATGGTTTTCTAATCTTTTTCTTCAAACTCAGCACAAATACAATGAAGTTATTTTTTACATAATAGACACTGAATCTACCAATCAACTGAAGTCCTTCCTTTATTTTAAGAATATTTGGGTTGTTCCCACATTGCCAAAGACAGGTATAAACCACTTTGCCCCAAATAATTAAATTACCTAGAGCCATTGATTTTATTTTATTAAATACCTAAACATAAATAAAGAACTTAAATCATAGAACAAACAACATAGACTTTTTAATGAAAAAAAAAAATATTAATAACAAAGTCCAAAGTAATAGAATATAAAAATAAAAAATTATGCAATTCTAATATTGTCATATTTGTTTTTTATTTGTACAATCTGTATAAAAAAAATATTTACAATAAGTACAATGGAGATAATGATAATATTGGTAATTGGACATGGTTGACTTGTTGAAGAGACTATTCATTAATAGCACTTCATGGCAATTCTAATATAAAGTAAATTTTAATTGGCATATGTCCAGTTTTTCACTGATTAATTGCAAAATAATCACTAGTTTGATTTAATACTTCTACCACACAATCTCAGACAACCAAGGAAGCCATAAATCTAATAATTATCAATTTGTTACTGTAAATAAATAGATAATACAATGTCCCCACTTTACCCCATGTTCACCTATTAGGTAATATTAAGTTATAAATAGGGCGTGGATATAAATGCAATAAAAAAAAAAAAGGTGGGTAAGTGGATGTCACTCTGCTGTACAGTAGGTTACAAGTGGGTCACTGTATAATGGATGCTATTAAATTTGAATTCAATGATACAATATCATTGTATAAGAAACACGATTCTAAGCGAAGACGGTATGTCAGTCTAGGTTTAAGACAAATTATATACATATCTATGGTATTAAAACAAAAATTGACCTATAATAAATTCCAAATTAATCATATCACATTATCACAATATCCATTAGGTACTTATAGCACGTTATACATCAACATCAATAACAAACCCTGATACTATCATAGATATATAATAGTACACTTTAGAAGTTTCAAGTAGGTATAATATTATATAATCACAACAAAATAACTAGGTTTTTTAATATGTAATTTCGTCCAAATTTGAACATAAAAAGACTATAAAAATAAACTGTGATTGTATATTTTTTCGATTTTTCGGTAAGAGAATTAACTACTTACGTGGAATCTTGTTTTAAATTTTCAATCCTTAGCTATAAAAACTGAACATTTTATAATTTATTAATTACGATGATTAATAATTTTCGAGATTTTGAAAAATTCTGCCAAAATTCGATGTTTAAATGCTTATAAAAAAAACTGTGACTAACGATTTTTAATATTTTTCATCTGCCTTTGAAATAATATAATAGGAGCCTTATATTAAATTTTCAAGCTTTTTTAACCAACAAATAAAATTTTATTGATATTTTTAGAAAATAAACTAAAAAAAAATGGAAAATGAAAATGTCCCTTAACAGTTCAAAATAAATCAAAATATTTTGAAAATGTTATCGTGTATATAAAATGCAAATATAAACAACCAGTGAAAATTTCATGTATTTACGTTCATTTCTTTTAGAGTTACACCAAAAACCAAAATCCTAGTACTTTTACTGTTCTAAAACGTGATGACAGACACAAAAAAAAAAACACACACATCATTGTAAAATCAATACATTCATCGTTTCACTCAAAATCTAAAATAAGAAAAATACCTTAAACTTACGATTTTATGCACTAGTTACAGTATTACAAAGCTTAATAAAATTCCCAGAAAAATTAAAAGCTAATTTAAATTAAAATAAAATAGAACTTAAATAGGTATAGTCCTTATATTTTGTGTTTCATTATATCACTGGTCAATCAGAAAAAATGCATTCATTGACTTATTATCTACTTTAGCAACGTCGTAGAGATTCAAATGTCTACGTCTGTTGTTATCTAATGATCTCTTATTTTTACAATATTTAGCTTGTATTGCTTTGTAAGTAAGTAGGTCATTTGTTATTTTTGTAATTTTCTTCATTATCTAGGCACAGGCATTGAATATGCATTTAAAATAATATTTTTAATTTTTTGTACGAATTAGGTTACTAAAATTATTTTCAACTACACTCATTTTAGATTCTGAGTGGAACGATATATGTATTGATTTTATAATGATGTGTGTTTTTTTTTTTTTTTTTGAGTCTGTCATCACGTTTTAGGACAGTAAAAGTGCTTGGATTTTCTTCAACAGTATCTTTTCTGATAGGAAAGTGAATCTAGTTGGTACTTTGGGGGGTCAAAAGTAAAAATGTCTCAGTAGTTTTCACAAGCGCCGGGAAAAACAACATAAAAATTAAGGAAAAACGGGAATTTTTAAGCAAAATCGGTTTTCCAAAAAATCGATTTTGGTTTTTGGTGTAACTCTAAAACAAATGAACATGCATGCAATTTTCACTAATTGTTTATATTTGCATTTTCTATACACGATAACATTTTCAAAATATTTTGATTTATTTTGACCTGTTTACGGACATTTTGAGTTTTCAATTTATTTTAGTTTTTTTTTCTATAAATATCAATAAAGTTTTATCTGTTGGTCCAAAAAGTGTAAAAAATTAATACAAGGCTCCTGATATATTGTTACAATAGCAATTGAAAAATATTAAAAATACATAGGCACAATTTTTTTTTATAAACATTTAAAGATCGCATTTTGACAAAATTTATCAAAATCTCGAAAATTATCAATCATTGTAATAAATAAATTATAAAATGTTCAGTTTTTATAGCTAAAGATTGCAAATTTAAAACAAAGGTTCTCATAAATAGTTCATACCGTAACCAAAAAATCTAAAAAATATATGAACACAGTTATTTTTTACAGACATTTTAAATTCAAATTTGGACCAAATTACATATTAAAAAACCTAGAATAACTATTTTAGTTATTTTGTTGTAATTGAATAATATTATTCGTGGGTACCTACTTGAAACTTCTAAAGTGTACTATTATATATCTATGATAGTATCAGGGTTTGTTATTGATGTTGATGTATAACGTGCTATAACTTATAAGTACCTAATGGATATTGTGATAATGTGATATGATTAATTTGGAATTTATTATAGGTCAAATTTTGGTTTAGTACCATAGATATGTATATAATATGTCTTATACCTAGACTGACATACCGTCTCTGCTCAGAATCGTTTTTCTTATACAATGATATTATATTGTTGAATTCAAATTTAATATCATCCATTATACAGTGACCCACTTGTAACCTACTGTACAGCAGAGCGATACCCACTTGCCCACATTTTTTTTTTATATCAACTATACAATATATTCTTAAATATGAAAATATAGAAGTTGAATATTCTCTCATCTCCAAAATATGCTTTAATGTTCAAAATTCATTTTTTTCTACAAATTTTTAAATATACATCTACATTTTTCACCCTAGTTGAGCCTACTCACCTGCTTGATATCAATAAATATATTATGTAAAAATCCAATCTCTAATTATGGCCTACCAAAATAAAATTATATTTTTTATCAATAATCTTAATTAATCTTTGTAAGGAATACAAAACAAAAATAATTTCCCATGAATTGATATTTATATTCCTCCGAAATATTATCAAACATATAACAATACAGCCATACAGGTACACAGTATTATAATTGAATTTATAATAAATTCAAAAACATTTATCTATATTTTGTTTTATAAAAAAAATAATTTATTTAATAACTTAAGATTTATTTAAATATTTTAATCACAGGTTCAATAATCCTCAGCATTCTTTGGAGGACGCACTTCTATATTTCTTTGAATTGATTGAACTAGCCATTGAATTCCTTCATCAATCCCATCGCTGCAACACATTATTTAACTAAGTATGTATACTAATTTAAAAAATGGAAACTCAGTCAATTAAAAAATTAATAATTAAATACCCAGTCAACGCAGATATTGGCATAACCATAAAATCTCTTCTTCCAATCAAATGAGCATTCTGATTAAAAATTGGTTTTACTTCTCGGACGCCCATACAGTCAGGAATGTCTTGTTTATTAGCTAATATTAAAAGTGGTATGCCACCCAAGTTTTCGTTGCATATCATCTTTTCTATTAAAGTTTATTAAATTAATATAACATTTTACTAATTTAAAACATTATACAAATATGAAACAAGTACATAAGATATAATTAATATTAAAATATTAAAATATTTTGATAATATTATATCCAAATGTATGGATGGAATGATAACAAAATATTATATTATATTTTAATATTTATAAGTTTATTTTTTATGTGATTTGTAGATTTTTAGTATAAAAAATGACACACCTGTCAATAAAAAATGTTAACAGTTATTTACAAATTATATAATTAAGAATCCAACCGAAATGAATATAAATTATTAATAATAATTAATTTAAACATTGATCAGTATATTTTAAATGCATACCAAATGTTTTTTTTGATTCATCCATGCGCTCTCGATCAGATGAATCCACAATATATATAATGGCATGACATTCAGCATAATACTAAAAATAAATATTAAAATACAGTAAATTTTTGAAAGTGGTAAGTAGTGCTCAACAGACAACAGTTAAGGAAACAAATATAATTTTAAGCAAATAACTCTTGTATAATAATCTAAAATAAATTTTAAATCTTACTTTGTCCCAAAGTGACTGTAGTTCTGTCTGACCGCCCAAATCCCAAAAGTTCAAGCTCACTCTGTGTATGTCGATGTTGCCAATGTTCAAGCCAACAGTCGTTGTGATTTTACTTGGGTTGATACCCTTGTAGTTTTTCTTGAATTTCGTTTTTGAACATTCCAAATACGTCTGAAAAAGAAACAATACCCGAGGTAATAAATCTTACAAAAGTCAATATGTGACAGAGACAGTCTCAGAGTTGACAACCGGATAATTGGTTACCGTTTTACCAGCGTTGTCCAGACCAAGTATGAGAACCCAAAACTCATCTTTCTGCGTCAAATACTTGTAAAGTCCGTGAAACAGCGTATACATAATATCTTCGTCTTATTCCCAACAGGTCAACAATATCATATTTGAGTGAGCATGGATAGTTTTTTTTAAGTATGTCGAGTCGTACATCGACCTTACATTTTACGTACAAGCTTATTAGGTATATATTTCACGAGACAACCATTCAGTGGATAATTAAAAAAATAGTAAACGTTGACAATCAGGATTCGTTTGACTTTGAACAATAAATTAAAATTTGAATTTCGAACAAAAGTTTGTCCATTGTTGTGACACGAAGTCCCTTATCATTTATCACTTTTTCTTATCAACCATTATCATTACTCATTTTTAGCCCAATGTTTAAACTTTGATTATCAATAGTCGAATTATTTTAATGTCTCGATGACTGTCTTTCGATTTGTAAACCATAAACCGCCTTTGTAAATAATCGTAACTTCCCAAGCGTAATAACTAATAGTATTATGTTTGCCGTATAATTCTAGTTCTTTTGCTCCCTTATTTGGATCCGATTGTCTGGTGGTTATACAATTAATATGTCTGATACTATTGTTGTGCAGTTTTAAAGTATAACGTCCATTTCTTTTGTCGTTAGAGTTTGTTGTACTTACATTCATTGATCATGGGAGCGTGCTGCAGTTGGTGCAAAGAAGAAGACGCGTACGCCGTAAGCGTTTCTAGGAATTGTTAATTTTGCACGACAAAACTCCACAAGAACTTGGCTTATATTGTTATAAATCATAATTGTTATTTTACATAGGCTGTTGATCAGGAACGAACTCATTTGCTGATCGATCCAGACTGTATCAACACAAGCGTTCAACGCGGTGGTATATCCGAGGACTATCATTATGGATCACTACCAAAAGAATCTGAAGAGCAAGCTGGATTAAACCGTATACTAGAAGAGATATCATCGTGAGTTTAATTTTTTGATAATATATATACAACTAATGTACCATTCTAACAATTTTTTTTATTTATTATCATTACTTGTGTTTAATATACTATTTTATAATGATATGAAGACATTAGTCATTGCACAGACAATATTAAACAATTAATGTTGCTGTGTAATGTGTATTTAGGTATCCTTCAAATGAGATTTAAAGTAAAATCACTTCATATCAAGTATAATATTATCTATTTCAATTGTTAAAAATATTTATTCACATTTCATATACCTGCTTGGGTTTAAATTTAAATTATCAGTCAACTGTCATAAGATCATGGATTAAGTTTTTTTGTTTTTGAATAAATAATAATTATGGTTTTAGACTAATTTATTTAATTTGAAATCCACTGCAAATTTTTTTTAAGTTACTGTTGGAGAAACAGAGATAATGAAAGTTGCTGGAATAGTATCACCTTATTATGTACTTTCAATGATAATTGTAGATGCAAAAGTTATTTTATGATAATAATAATTATAAAATATAAATAAAATGAATAAAAATACAAAAAATTAGGTTGCTTTTAATTGTTAATGCTAATAAAATTTAACTAAAATCATAACAGTTTAATTTTAATTATGACCATTAAGAGTCAAGACTTATCGTTATATTTTGTCAGTCATTTTCATTAACCTTTTTTTTTTTTTTCAGAAATGTAATTGATGTTGGCCAATTGCACAATTGTATTGACCAACAAGAGGTGATAGAACGTCAAAACCTTTATAGTGCAAAACTGCAAATTGTACCACTTTCATCTGTTGCCAATACTATTGTTAGTTTGAGACAAATGCCAGTGTGCCTACTGAAAGATGTTCCTGGTCCAGAGAAGGTATTGTCAAGAAATATAGGACTACCAGAAAACTATCGTCACATAATGGTTTGTGTAAACGATATACAAAAACACTTATCTTTGATGAGTGTGGAACACAAGGGTGATTTAGTCGTTCCATTTTGAAATGGACACATATTTTTTTTATAATATGTATTTCAACTTATCATTTATATATTATATGAATATTTTAAATATTTATACATAATTATTATTATTATTATATTATACATGAACATAAAAATATGATGAGTTTTTTTTTAAGATTTTTGTATTGGTGGGACATGAAAAAAATATAGCATGAATCCTGTTCCCATAAACAAATGTAAAATAGTTATTAAGAATATAAACGCAAATGGTTTCTGTCCTAACGAAGGCATGATTGAAAATACAATTACATAACCTGACACTAGTGTGCCAGCTGCGACCAGAAGCCACTGCAACCAATTGATTTGGATTACCCATAGAATTGAAATTGGCACAAATATTGATAGCGAGTATCCATACAAACACAGCAGTTCCAAGTAGCTAAGATTAAACTATACAAACAAACAAATATATTTATACTTATTAGACAGTTAACAAGATTAATTATAAACACAATTATTCAGGTAATATAAAAAAATTATATAAATTATAATTATAATAAGTTATTTTGTATACTTTTATGATCTTTTCATTACATTATGTCATGCATTGTGCTTTCAGCGGATTAAGCAAACAGTTTAATTTAATAAATGTGATTATCATCCTTACCTGTGGTTCTTTGTACTTAACAAAGGCCCATAGCATTAGTGGTAGTAACCAAGCATATAAAAATATTGCTGTGGCGGCCGAAGACACAGCGTGGAAATTATATTTCCAATGGTAGTCGTGATCAGCAGCTACTTGTATGTAATTCGCAACATTTCCACTGATGGCTATAGAAAACACCAAAGTCAAACATATCCAAAACGGACCATACACATCTGGTTTTGCTCTGATGTAGCGTTGTAAGTAATTGACTCCGTAAGTAGGGACCAATGCTCCTCTAATACGCTCAAGTACATCTTCCGAAGTGACATCAAAGTACTTTTGAAAATACTCAACAGTCCAGATTGGATACTTGGGCAACGGTACTTCGGTAGGGGTACTCGACAGAGGTGGAAGATTTTCGTTTTCTAATGTGCGAAAATCCATTGCTGAAATCAGTATTATTTTGTTATTTCGAAAATGTAAGGAATATTCATATTATATTTTCCACGAACATACTTTTTATATATTTTTAAGAAACTAAAACACACAATACACTTGAAGTTATGTCTTCGGGTAAACCATAATCACAGGAATATAAAAAGAATTTCTTGAAATTTTTCAAAATTGTCAAATTATGATGTGTACAATATTGTAAAAATGACGAATTAAGATAATATCGTGGATCGTGGAGGTGGAACAAACATAGATAATAACAATTACTATTTAAAAAATAAATATCTGTTAAGCGTTATCTACTTATCTGATATTACATTTGTTCATGAACATTAGAGGAAGGACGCCGAACTGTGTATATAAAAGTGGTCCGGAATTATCGCATTCCGCCAGAATGCGCGTCGGACCGTAATGATGTCGTTTTTACATGTACTGCATAGGGAATTTATTGGTTTTTTAATATTATATTCTAAATGGTTTAACTTATGAATAATTACTATAGAACATTTTTTTAAAACCAAATTGCCCTCGATCGAATAAATGTGTTTCCAATAATATACGACTTTTATAAAAAAAGATATAGTTGTTATCTCTTTTTATAAAAGTCGTATATTATTGGAAACACTTATATTCGATCGAGGGCAATTTGGTTTTAAAAAAATGTTCTATAGTAATTATTCATAAATTTCACCATTTAGTTTATAATAATAAAAAACCATTAAATGTCCTATGCTATACAATATGTAAAAACGACATCATTACGGTCCGACGCGCATTCTGGCGGAATGCGATAATTCCGGACCATGTTTTTACGCTTCGTTCTGCTGTGTTCGGCGTCCTTCCTCTAATGTTCATGCATTTGTTATTGAACTGTATCAGATTAAAATAGATAATACATTTAAAGGCTGCAACCTGCTGCTACAATACTGCAGTCGTGGTAGCAGCATAGAACAATAAATAAATGGTAGCAGTGTGCATTTATCACTCATCAACCACAATAACGTTACCGTTGATACCAATTGGACCAACACTTTTAGGTTAATAGGTTATCAGTCTCTTGTTTTTAATTCCTATTTGGACACGATAACGCCAAGAAGTTGTTTGCTTTGCAAGTTTAATAAAAATATTTTTTCGTTTGTATTTAAAAAAAAATTGTATAAATTTCGTGTTTGAGTTCCTAATATTGTTTTTCTATTTTTTTATACCATTTTACACCTGGTAAGTTGATAAATATAAACAATAGTTAATAATTATCAAGTTTGTTTATTTTCTATCCAATCATATTAACTCAGTTTGTTTTATTAATTTCAGGATGATTTTTATTGACAAAAATGGTGATTGGATTACAGCCTCTGGAATTTTCTGACTGTATCACAGACAGCCCATATTTTCGTCAAAAACTGCATGATCATGAAAGAGAATTGCAGAAAACCAATCAACAAATTAAACGTTTAATAAAGGAACTAAAAGATTTGCTAAATGCTGCTAAAAGTGAGTTAAAATAAATTAATAGTTATAAATTTAAACAAATTCATTCCACAACAATTTATATTTTTATATCGAATGGATACCTACTTTTTTTCAAAAGTTACAGTGTCCAAAAATAAATATTAATTTTTTTAAATAGCTAGTGATAGGTATGTTATTAAAATGACATAAATGTTGATTAATGAGAATTTTGTCTTTGGTTTTAATGATTAATTCATAATTATGATACAGTTATAACTTATAAGTAACTACTTGTTAAATTAGCAAATGTTTGTAATTTAGGAGAATTTTATATTCCATTCATTTATTTAATGATAATATATTAAAACAAAAATATTAGATAATGAATAAAAAGTGAGTTATTATTGTTTAACATATTGAAATGTAATTAGACAGAAAAATTCTTCTAATTGATAACACAATAGAGTATTTAACCATGAATAAAATCTGAAATTTAAGTAATTATATACATTTAATGTGATATGTTTTATGGGGGTTATATATTGTGTCCGTGTGTAGAGTTTCTGGTTAGGTTAAACACTTTATTTTTTCCCATCTTTTGCAACATATGTTTTAAGCCTACTATTATATGGCTATATATTATACACAAATATTCTCACTGGTGCTGGTGCAACTGTCTATGTATATTTTTAGTTGGAAGATTCTTTAATGTTTACCAATATAATATTTATAAATTTTATAATTATTTTTGTGTCCTCAGCTCATGATACGACCAAGTGTCATAACACCCTATTTAGCTAACAATAGTTTATGGTGCATATTAATACCACCTAAAGGATAAAATGTAGTATATTGGTTTCATATTATAAAACTGTATACGTACTAGGTACTTATTTTAATTAACATAATTTTATAATTTAACATTATGATTCTAAAATTCAGAATAAATTTTCTATTGAATAATCTATTACAAAGCATTTCATTAAAATTGTATTAATTACATAAACATGAAAATACTCAACAAAATGAATTCCCTTAAACATATTTTGTGTAATTCTGTGTTTCTGGAACACATTAAATAAAATCTAGGAAAACTAATATAATATGTTATATGGAAATAACAAAATTTCTTACCAAGTAATTTAATATATGCAAAAGCATTTAACTTTTATGAATCATATTATTTTATTACTCATTTGTGATTTTACATAAACTGTTTTGTTTACATTACCTAGATGATATTTATTAATTTTTTATTTGAAAATAGTGCCACTATCGTCCATCGTATTGTTATATTATGTTTCAATCCTGGGGTTCTGTCAGGGCCGGATTGGTTAGGCGAGCTTCCGAGAAAATCTCGGTGGGCCGCTTGAAGTTTGGGCCGTTCGTGTAAGTGTGGGTGAAAAAAAATTTATGTTTAAAATACGATTGGCCCGATTTTAAGCTCGTAATAATTATAGACATAATTTTGGCCACTGAATATGTAAATCTCGATGGGCCGATACATACCAATCCGGCCCTGGGTTCTGTGATTGACCATTATCTTATGACATAATATCATCTGCACTACAAAGGGACAGTTTTTAATTAAAGATTATAAAAGTATTATTTAGATTATTGATTTAGAAGTAATTTCTATTTAAAATTCTATAGATTCTTAAATAGTAGTGCATTGTTTATACATATATTTATGTTAATTTAATATTTCTGTATGACATTATATATAAATTATAAATAATAAGCATATAGCCATAAATTTCTCATTTAAATAAAAGATTAAGATAACAATTTATGTGTTTAAACAATAAATTCAGTAAGTGTGCATAAATTATATTAGCCTTAAGGTAATATATTTTGTGTAACAACAATTGCTTCTTCACTTTATTTATGACTTAGAACAGTTTTATTTTATTATCACTATAATTAATTATTCGAGAAACAGTAGCTGCCATGTGCTAAAATACATTATTAAAAAAAAAAATGAAGATCAATGTTTAAGATATACATATAGAATTTTAGATTATTAGATTCCAGGCAGTTGATGGTAATTCTATTTAGTTTCTTTGATGGACAAAATATACTGAAGTCGAAAACCATGGAAGCTTTTAATATCATTGCCTACGTACATTTTTTTATTTCACATTCACCTTAAAAAGTTAATCATTATTATTTACCATTTAAATCAATGTATTTTTATTTGAATCTATCATTAAATTAACAAGTTTAATAAAAAGCAATTCAAGTTACAATTCTTTAAAATTTAAATAATTGGACAGGTCATCACTTTTTAGAATATTCAAAACTATTATTTGGTCAATATTGTTTCCTAATTAAAAACTGCTTGTAAAGTGTAGTTAACATTTTAAATATTTTTTAAAAACTTTTTGAAGGAAAATAATTTATAATAGCTGTAATAAATTTAAAATTTTTGGTTAGCTTTCTGGTAAATTTCAGATTTGTAGTGTTTTCAGCACATTTCCAAAAAAATTTTAAAATTTGACTTTAGATCAACAAATTTCATTATAATATTTCTAAATCAAAGGTTAAATTATTAATTTAACATGCAATTTAGTAATCCCGCCGTCCAAAGAGAAATTGGTGTCGTGATTTATTAAATGATTGATGGTTCTACCATTTAATTTATATTAAGTTAAATTAAGTTAATAATTAATAAATAATTAAAATAACGTTGGGTTCTATCACTGGATGGCCTCCCTCCTCATGTGTTCAGATTGTAAAAAAATTTTTATGTATGTGTTCAAATTTGCTTATTATGCCTTGTAGCATAGATTGTAAATATTCTAATAAAAAAAAAAAAAAAAAAACATGCAATTTTGTTTCTTATTTAAATTACATGTCAAAACAAATATAAAAAATATACCAAATATAATAAGTAATAATAATTGGGAGTATTATTCTGGGTATTACATACCTATGTTACTAATTTCTGTTATAAACCTATTATGATTACAGTAGAACTCCGATTATCCGGACTAATTAATGTCAAGGGTGGTCTGGATAAGGAAATATCCGGATGATTGACATATGACTAAATATAAAATTACAGTGTTTTTCAGCATTTTGCATCGAAAACCGTCAAATATGCGCTTAAAAACAGAAAAAAACACAAATTATGCACTTTTTTAAAAAAATGGTAAAATATGCAATTATATGCAAAATAAAATTATGATATTTTGAATATAAATATAAATATCATGAAACATATTTCAGTATAAGAATGGATGCTATTGGACAACCTACAAAAAAATATGCAAAATCATAAACATCCTAACCCTACATATGACATTTTAAAAGTTATTTAGGAACTGTGTAACGATAAGACAACAACTGACCATTTTGGAGTGCATAGGGGATATTTGCACCCCCGAGTTAAAAATGTGCACCCCAAAAATATGAAAGACTTAATCTATAATATTTTGATTATTTTGAAGTAAATATTATCAATAAATACAAAAATGTTGTAAGTGGGTACTTCACTATTATGTTCCAACATTCCCAGCTATAACAGTAAAACATAATAT